ATGCTGTCATTGTTCTTGAGATGTATGCTGTCAAATTCCCTAAACAAAATCATGAATTTGACATTACAAGCAAACCACACTTAGAAGCAAACCACACCTACGTGGAATAAAACTCTCCAACAGACCTGGCAGCAGGCCCAGCATCAAACCAACAGTGTCCGCTGAAGTTCTAATCTGTCAAGATCTCCAACTGGCTCAAGAATTCTCATGACCCCAAATCTGGCCATACCCTACCTTAGCCGACAAAACAAAGTGAAACTCACTACCTATCACAAGGAAACCAAACTAGCTATGAGAAACTAAGACTGATAACTACCAAATCTGAGTTGACAAACTCAGTTTCCTTATGGATAGATGCTGCTAGTGTTAGTGTTACCGCTACTGCTATGGCTACTACTGCTATAAGTACAGGTGGTAGTGTTACCGCTACTGCTATGGCTACTACTGCTATATGTGGCAGCACTACAATTCACTTCTCAATCTTAATATACTATGACTGCAATGATTTTTACCCGTCATATGCTATAACTCTTCAGTTTCCTTAAGTGCATTCCATTGCCAGCGCGGGCTGCACCGGTCCCGTGGACTACACATAAACAACATAAACGTTTCAGAACCCAATTATAATTATTTTCTATTATAGAACTATAGAACTAGCTAGGAATAGTATTAGTAATTATTTATTATAGAAACTAATGCATACTTGATCACCCCAAGCTTTCTCATTGTTGTAAATAACAGCAGCTCCAAAGCTTCTAGCAGGGTTGATACCAGTTCTCGAAGGCAATGTTATTAGAGCTTTAGCACAAGGAACTAGTTATGGTGCATAAAATTGGACATAACCTTCATTGGAAATGGTCGAAGTTTGTCGGCCTTGCGTTAAATGGAATTATGAGGGACACACATATGCAATTGACTGCTACTTGAAGTTGCTTGTTCGACTATGTTGCATTTACGGTACTAGTGATGACGGCTGAATCGATTAGGGAAGTTGCTGCTAAATAATTGGTGATGGAACTGAAGGAAATTCATAATGCTTATATTGGAGTAGAATGATTGATTGGAAGAATGTACACCTTCTGTTATATATGTTGTCTGTGTGGTTTCAAGATACTTTAAGGTAGGTTTCCGTTTAGATCTTCAGTATAATCGTAGTTGATAAACATTTGTACTATCGCCGTTTCATTCATTCTTAAATGCTTATTGACGAATTCTGTGACTGATTAACGAATGAAATTAACAGAACCATGAGTGAGTTTTGATTAACAAAGAATAAATGTTGAACTCATAAGTCACAAGCAGCTAATCAAGCTTCATTTCCGGATTGTTTTTGCAGACAAACCGAACAACTGCACGGATTTTCCCAGCTGTTCTTGATGTTGAGAACCTAGAGTTTAAGCGTAAGTTGGATCGGATGGTGGTGATAAACCAGAAGATTCTTGCTATTTGTGAGAGTGATGACTCAAGAGGAATTGTTTGAACTTATTCCCAAAATTCAGAGAGAAGACTCAAGAGGAATTGTTTGAGCTTATTCCCAAAATTCAGGTGCTTCGCATTTTCTATATGCATAATAATATCTCTGATTGATGCTGTTTCTGTTTCTGAATTCAGCTATGGTTAATTTTTCGATGCTTTCAATAACTCAGTTTTGTTTCAGGTTATGGCTAGATCATCACCTTTAGACAAACATACATTGGTGAGACAGCTGCGTACAATATTCAGGGAAGTTGTAGCTGTAACCGGTGATGGAACAAATGATGCTCTGGCGCTTCATGAAGCCGACATCGGACTTGTAATGGGAATTTAAATATCATCATTTTTAAAGCTGTTTTATTTTGGAGATACAGGTATATGATAAGAGCAGTTGGTTGGTCTCTTACAGTGATGTTCCCAAGTTTCGTAGAAGTGTAATTTTTCCCAGTATGTTTCCTTCTGGCAAAGGAAACCAGGATCTTGATAATGGTAATTGTAATGTTGACATGGAAGATGACATTACTAGTGTAGAAAATGGAAAAACTAAAGATGGTGTTAAAGCACTAGAGAATCTTGTGACATCCGAGTCTGCTGATGAAGTTTCGGTTTTTCCTCTAGAGCATTGCATGAGGATATTGCCTCATGATCAGAACACCGGGGCCTTCTTTATTGCTGTGCTGCAGAAAGTTTCTCCTCTGCCAGGTAGTCTCATATATAATAACATCCCTCTATCTCTCTCTAAGCTGCAGTTTCTACTTTATATTTTACCTGGACTTTTGCTCATGATATGGTTTTTGTTCTTGCAACTATTATGGAAAAACCTAGCAAACAAATTGATGAACAAAATGTAGAACCACCAAACCAGAGTCTTGAGAATGCACAAGCACCACAGATCAATTCATCTGACAGTACAATTGAAGAAGTCGTCAAAGCAGTTCCAGAGGAAAATATGATTGACAATGTATCCAATACAGAAGATTTGGAAGTTAGTCCTCTTACACGTGAAGAACAGAACTCTGAGGAAACTGAAGTGCCACATAATGCACAGGACATGGAAAAGAAGGCTCCAGGTAAACGAAAGCTACAACTTCAAGGACAATGGAGAGGTGTTGACCCTGTTGTCTTTTTTAAAGATGCCATAAGAGACGGTGTTCACATTATATCATTATCTCTTGGTCCTCAATCTCCTCAAGGCGACTATTTCAATGATGCCATATTTGTGGCGTCTTTCCATGCTGCTAGACATGGAGTTCTTGTAGTAGCATCAGCTGGAAATGAAGGAACTCCTGGCTCTGCAACAAACCTTGCACCATGGATCATCACTATTGCTGCTAGCTCAACAGATAGGGATTTCACCTCTGATATCATATTAGGAAATGGTGCTAACATCAAGGTAAACACAAATACGGTATTTAAACATAAATTCTAATATGTAACTCTAGGGTTGGAAAATAGAAAGACACTGCAATAACTCTTGCAGTCTGAGACGTAAGCTATGATTGATTGTAATTGTTTGACAAGTTAGTAAACTATCATTAAAACAATATAAGGATTTACTGCTCTAACAAACTGATTCTTAGAATTTATGCATTTATATACAGTTTGTAATCACAAATATTTAGTGAGAAACACAAATATTTATATTCAGTGTTTATATGCATTTATATACAGTTTATATTCAGTGAGACTGCGCCGACTCCATCGTCGGCTCCGACTCCATCGTTGGCTCCGACTCCCTCAGTTGCTTCGACTCCATCACCTGCTCCGAATCCATTGCCAGTGCGGGTTGCACCGGTCCCGCAGACTGCACCCATTTTGCGGACTACGCCTGTGCCGCAGGCTGTACCACCATTGCAAACTACATTCATCTGCACCTAGGTTTTTTTTCGACTTATAAAGTTTGAACTTTAGCCTCGGTCAGGCCCAGACTATTTTTGTTTTTTGACACGGCTTCACCAAGGCTAAAATGCACGTGAGCTTATGCACGTGAGCTAATGTAGACACGGCTAAATTAGACACGGCTAGACCGAGGCTACATTTAGCCACGGCTCTTCTTGCCGAGGCTAAATATTAGCTTCAATCGTTTTAGCCTATCCCCGACACCGACGCTAGGTCGAGGCTAAATGGCTAGTAGCGGCGGTTTTTTGCCTTATAGTGTCGGAAAATGGTCGAGGCTAAATACAACATTTCTAGTAGTGATGGCCAAAACCTCGGTTCAATACATGGGTTCAACCCAGTTCAAAAGCTCACTTTGGTGTGAGATAAACCTATGAAAACTTTCGATTTATCTTGGGGTATAACCGCTTCAAGTTGTTGTTTGAAAAAAAGACTAATCACTTCATTTGTTATTTGGATGGAAAATTAACTGTTTCTCACTAGTATTTGTTGTTTGGTTGGAAGTTAACTTGAAACTTTATTTTTTTTTGTATAAAGAGGTTCGAAAGTTTAACCTACTAAATGCTCTTAAGAATTATTGGATACTCTCAAAATTAAATCTCAAAAAGATGATTAAACTACTTTATTTTGACCGAATCTCTATAATTTATAGCGTTACTTCTTTTACCCTCAACTTTTTATTTTTTGCTTATTTATCTTTCCACATGCAAATTTATTAAAACGCTTTTAAAATATTTTTAAACAATGAAAATAATTATAAATTTTTTTCGAACTATCATTTTTCAAAAACACACAATTCACCTTTTTGTGTGAGGAGTTAAATGTTTTTAAATGTGTATCATATCAATAATATGTATTGATTTACTTCATTTCACCATTTTTTATAATAAAAAAAAACACAACAATTAACTTTTTTAGGTTTTATTTATTTACTATTATGAACTTCTAGTGTATTTTTTAATTATAATAAATAATAAAAAACAAATTATAATAGTATTAATGTAAGAGTGCAAGTCACAATTTTTTGAAATAAATATTTTCTTTAGAGTACACGTGACAGTTGTTATATATAAGTGTTTTTTCTAAAATAAATATAAAAATTAGTATCTATAATTAAAATCTAAATATATATATTAAATTAAATTTTACTAACTAAATATTTATTGATGTATTTTTAAAAATTAATCTAAAAATAATATCACTAGATAATTTGATTAGATACGCATTTAAACTAGATTTGATATACTGTTATGAGATAAACCCGCCGGATTTGATATAGTCAAAATAGATTTGATTAGTTATTAGTTTGTTGAATGCACAAAAGTACACACGCAGTATAACGAACCCATCCTTTATCATTTAAAAAAGTATAACAAACACATTAATTAATAAGATTGCTAAATATCAGTATCCTATTAAATAGTAATAAATAACATTCTTACTTTGCAAGCAATATCTTTTCCTTTTTTTCCGTATTGTGTTTACTTTCAATATAAACAGCGAAATCCCTTCTCATCTCATAACATTACAAAACCTAATATTTCGTTTGCAGAGCGTTTACAGTCTCACAATCTTAGTTTGCATTCTTTTCAACATCATTTCGTCGAGGTCAAGAATTCACAAAACTCAACATGAGCGAGGTGAAGCAAGTCATTATCCGTCAAGTTTGGACATATAATTTGGAGTATGAATTCAATCTCATACGTCAGGCTATTCATCAACATCCTATGGTTTCAATGGACACCGAATTTCCTGGTGTAATTCATTCACCCGAAATCGATCATCATTACCTTCAACCCTCTGACAACTACCGCTACTTGAAGGCCAATGTTGATGCTCTTAATCTCATCCAAGTCGGTTTCACACTTACCGACATTAAGGGAAATCTTCCTGATTTTGGAACTAGTTATAGCTACATTTGGGAATTTAATTTCTGTGATTTTGACATCAATCAGGATCCTTGTAATCAAGATTCTATTGATATGCTATGTCGTCAAGGGATTGACTTCAATCGAAATTTACGCCATGGTGTGGATTCAAGGTGTTTTGCTGACCTAATGTTTTCGTCAGGACTTGTTTCCAATGAATCACTTTGGTGGATCACATTTAGCAGCGCTTATGATTTCGGGTATTTGGTAAAGATCTTAACTCAAAAGAATCTACCAGACCGTTTAGAGGATTTTTTAAATATCGTAGAAGATTTGTTCGGAAAAAAAGTGTTCGATGTAAAACACATGATGAAATTTTGTAACTTTTTGCACGGTGGTCTTGAGCGAGTAGCTACTACCTTAAAAGTGAACCGAGCAGTTGGAAAGTCTCATCAAGCTGGATCTGATAGTTTGATGACATGTCAGACATTTAGAAAAATGCTAGAAACTTGTTGTGTCAATAAGAAAGTTCCAGAACTTAAAGATTATGCAGGAGTGTTATTTGGATTAGAGATTGTTGTGTAATCAAACCGAGTACAAGACCATTGTAAAAATTGAAATATATAAAAAAAATTATTCTTTGATTATTTTATATTTTTATTTTACAAGTCAAACATATACTTTCTTTTACTCACACGTAAATTCTACTACTTTTAAATTTAATAATATATATTTAGGGTTTTAATTTTATAAATTTGCATTTTGGCCATTCATTTTTAGGGTATTGTATATTAGTCTTTCCTAAGTCATGCGATTTTACGAAAGCAATAAATTCTAAAACTTGTAATTTTATATGCGTGTGTCTTCTTTGCATGACACTTAATCCGGTCTTTGATAATTACTCATTACAAATTTAATCTTCTAAAAAATATTTCGCATACAATGTTATCCATAGAAATTAAAAAATTTAACTGCCTAAAATCCTAATTACTTACATTTGCACCAATCTTGTATTCGGCTCCTTAAACCTTTCTTTGTGATACTCATCATCCCAAGTTCTTCTATAATCTTTGTTCAATCCAAAATACAAATGCGAACTTTTTCTTAAGCTTTGTTTGAGATACTAATTAATAATCTTAAAACTCTTATATATGAAGTTGCTTCTATTTTACAGGGCTTTCCCGTTTATGTTTTTTTGTTATTTGTCAAATTAATTTTCGGTTAAATTTTTTTTTTTTTTAAATGAGTCTCCTTACATAATTGCATATGTTAGAATGGAATACTTAATCGGTTTTACATACATGCAAAAATCAGGATGTTTGATTAAAGTATTAGCAATATGCTTCTAGTCAAATTAACGAAAGTTTGAATTAAAAAGCACATTTGAGAAAAATTCATGTCATTCCAAATCTGGATTCAAAATGACACTTCATTTTGATGAAAAGTTGAAAATATTGAAGTGATATTCAAATCACAATGACTTTCTAACTCGAATCAAACTCTTAGTGAAAATTAGGATTTTGCTTCTGTGAGTCTGATTGAATCACAAGACTTCCTTACTCGAATCAAACATAGTTTTGAAAAATAAAATTTTGCCTCTGTGAGTTTGATTCAAATCATAGCGATGCATGTCACAAATTAAAAAGGTTTGATTTGAATCATAGACATGCTTGACTCGAATCAATGGCTCTGAGTTTGCTGAAGATTATTTGTATGTGAGTATGAGATGTTTTCAAGAAACGGATTAGTCCACTATTGGCTTTCTCATGAAAAGCTCATTGGGAATTATCTTTAGTAAGTAAAGAAATATTGTTGGCTAATGAATTTGACTCATAGGAACTTCAGAATAAAGTCTGCAGAAAAGGGCTGGAACAAAGATAGTTCAAACTTTGAAGCAATGATCCTCCTAATTCAAGGCATCAGAATGTTGTTGTCCTTGAGAAGCTTCAAAGAAATCTGTAGATGTTTCGTGTAAAGAAGTTCACTAACTCATCATGGATATGATGTAAGATGAACTCTGAGATTTTATTAGAAGTAGCATGGACAATTAAGTTCTGTTAACTTGAGATTTTATCTCAGTTGAACAAACTGTAATTGGTCAGATGTTATTAGACATTCTTTCTCAGAAGTTCATAATGATTGGATCCTGAAGTCAACCTGTTCAGAAAGATACAATGACAGAAGTCATTCAATCTGTTTTTAAAAGGGATTTAAGTCTCTGGTGTTATTCAAAATGAATAAGTTAGTAGAAATCCTTTTTCAAAAGCAGATGATCTTGATGAACTAACTCCTCTGGTTAGCTCAACATTGCAAGAACAGAATTGTCATTTAGACTGTGTCATTTGATACATCAGAGTTTGATGATAATTGTATCTAGACTGGATCTGCATTTGTTTCAATCAAACAAAATCAGAAGATGAAGCCTGATGGAAGTTAGATGCTCTAAATCATGAAGATCATAATATATGTGCTCTGAAGATGTCTCTTAGAAATTAGATGGATGATGTGTTGATGAAGATACTGCAGAACGCAACCAAAGGATGTGAAATCAGCTCAGAAGAGAAATTCAGTAGATCCTACTTCAAATGTTGTTACTGGCTCCTCTCACAAGAACAAGATCCTTCCTCATATCTTCAAGGCTAGTCAGCAAGAAGTTTTTGACTACACAAAGACATATGCTTATGTGGCAAGTCTACGCAGGCAAAGGTTGAAATGAGCATGATGGGAGAGCTAAGACTCTTTCTGAGCATTCAAGTCAGTCAAACTCTAGAAGGCATCTACATACATCAGATGAAGTATGTGAATAGCTTCTGAAGAAGTTTAATCTAACTGAAAGAAAGTCAGCTAAAGACTCTCATGCATCCATCTAGCACTCAAAAGAAGAGGAGATTTTAAGTGTTTTTACAGGAAGCGAAGCTACAGAGGACTCTGAGGAAGCAACTCTACAGAAGACTCTGAGCGGTTGGTTGAAAGCAATGGTTCAGAAAACTCTGAGCAAAGAGTATAAAGAAATGTTTCAGAAGACTCTGAGTGCACTTATCTCAAAGGCTGCAACTGCAGAGGCTCTGAGAATCAGATTATGCATGGCTCTGAAACGTTTACATCTGGATAACAAGGACATCTGAAGAACGAAGATCTGCTCTGATCTGAAGTGTTCCTCTGGATGAACAGTTTACTAAAACATTCGCTAGAGCTAAGCTGCATAGATCTGAAGCTTACTCTGGAACTTCATCAGAAGATCTGAAGACTACTCTGATAAGGGGAGAAATAGAACTTCATCAGAGGATCTGATGCAAGGAAACATTTTCATATTTGTTCACTCAATAGATGTTGATCAATATAAGTAGAATTTCAACTTCACAGTCAGAAGAATCCATTATCGAAATCAATGAAATCTAGTATCTGAACCATATTAGTATCAAACCCTCTGAAGAAACACTTCTGGGCTTGATGTCATTGATTGAGCTATCATCTGTTGATGAAAATCTTCTGGGCAAAGACTGAATGTCAATGACAAGAAGGACTAACTAACATAACTCTAATAGTTCTAGTTATAAAGTTTGGTACAAAGAATCTCCCCAGAAGATAAAGCGAAGCTTTGATAATCTCTGAAGATTTATCATAAAGGATAATTGTTCAGTGAAGCTGTTGATACATGATTGTATTTTTTGATGTTCACCTTCTTCTGAACTCTTGGGATTGAGTTGAAGTATGAACTTGAGATTGATTTGGTTTCAAGATTGGAATCAGAAACCAAAGGCAGGTTAGCAGAAGAAGTCACCATCAGATGATCTGATGCTGATTGATAAGAACAAGATTGTCAGTCAAATCGATGCTAGATATACATCTTGGTTTGATGATAAGTTTGTGATGAACAATTGTGTCTATTCAAGGGATAAATTCTTATGATGCAAGAAGTCAACAAGTTTCCTCAGCTCATAACGTTTTTGAAGCTTATGCTTATTATGAGAAACTAGCGTTCATCTAGAAACAAGTCGTCTGGCAAATAAAGAGGCATGATCATTTGTAAAGACAAAAATATGGAAGATCAGGAAATGAAGACCAAAGAAAGATTCTGGAACTCATAACTATTGATCAAGATGAAACAACATCAAAGGAGATGTGTGTCTATTATTCATAAGGAAGCTGAAGAAGTCAGTATGATTCAGATGAAGACTATAATAGAATGAAGAAAGATAAAAGTTAGAATGGAAAGCACTCAGAGAAAGAATAACTCTGAAGATCTCAGAATCTCAAAGATATATGAGCTTTCTGAAAAGTGAAAGTCTTGATTCTGAAAGTTCCTCTCCATTTGTATCTGCTCCGTTAAAAGAGAATATGGTTTCAACAATTCCTACACTTCCTTCAATTGGTATTCCTCAGGAAACCAATTCTGATGAAGTTCCCTCCTAAAAAAGAACAGATGATGTAAACCCCATCTTCCTTCTGAAACCTTTATCACATCTGAACCTTATCCTCTGTCCCCTCATCACTTTACCATTCTCACCTTCATTTGGTACCATTCACACCTCTGAGCACTATTCATTTCTCTGAGTATGTTCATGTTTCTGAAACCTCACCTTACACTCAATATACCTTCATCCTCTATTGAATCTTCATCCTCTGGAGTTTGAGACTTTCTAGAACGTTTTTCAGAAGTGGTTAAACTTTGAATTTGGACGCTTTTCAAAGTCACTAGAAGCTGAAGCTCAACTGGTTAAGGAAAGAGAAGATAAGCTAGAAAGGATAAGAAACTTCAAACTTTTTACTGAGAAGCAAAAAGAAGCTGAAGAAAGAGAGGCTGAAGAAGCGAGAATTCTAGCAGAGGAAGATTCAAGAAAAGAAACTGTCAGATTGACACAAGAAGCTGAAGATGCTGAGAAGGCTAAACAAGTTGTTGTAGTTGGTTCCTCGTCTGAAACTACTCTTGTACGATGAGAACATGACGATAGTGAGATTAAAAAGATCAACAAGCTATGAAGAAAGAACAATAAGTTTTCAGAGAAAGCTTTGCTGAACAGAAAATTGTCAATAATTCTCTTTTGTGCATGCTTCAACAAATTCTGGAAAAGATGTCAACCTATAAGAATTAGGTACTCAGGTATTATTTCTTGACTCTAATATTTTAAAATTTTGAAATTCTGTTATTACAGAGCGAGAAATAGAATATATTTTAAATCTTATTTTTAATGAAAACTCACCTTTTTGATGATGTCAAAAAGGGGGAGAAATAGAAAATGATTTTGATATAACCTGGAAAATAGAATATGGTTGATATAACCTAAAGAGAATGCAAAACATCAACTCTGATATAAATTGCGTTTACTACTAACTGTATGTTTGATGTTTTTACCGAGGAACTCTGAACAAGTTCACTAGGCATTCTAAAGACAGGTCAAATGAATGAACTCTGAGTTCAAATGAACTGGTTGTTCATATAATCGAAGTTATACACTTTGTGAACATATGTGGACCACAAAGCCTAGAAAATATCCTGCCTGTACATAAAACGAAATTTGAGGGGATTCATTTTTAGGCCATGCTTCCTCATTCTCTCAAACGAGTATCGAAGATGGTCTAAATGG